TTCTGCTGTTTTTGCCTGTTTTCAATTTTTACCGGGGAAAAACACCTTCAAAGTTGATATATAGTCGACGATTGTGTCCAATTGGGCACTATTGAGCCATTTTAATTATCGCGCGCAGACATGCGACTACTTGTTTATTTAGATAGTTATTTCTATCATTTTCGAATTTTATACGCTCTACTTTTTAATGCTTTTTTCTTTCTCCTGAGATGTCTCACCCAATTACCTTTTTTACCATCCATCCCGTAATATGGAAGGATGGGGTTTTCGCGTGCTGTTTGGGAACCTAAATTGAACTAATAACAACTTGATATCCGAAGACTTATACCCTGCTACACACCCCAGTTTCCAATAGTTCGTGAGAATATGAACATATCTGATGGTGCGAAGAAACATATGCAGTATCCTGATGAGAATTGACTTTCTGGCCGAACTACAGTCTCAATTATGACATCCTTAACGTTGGAGCTCGTATCAAACCCTATCAAGCAAGCAGCTTAGGCAGCTGATTAGTGCTTCCTCACCACGAGCAGGTCCAAAGAAAACTCGTCTTTAGCGTGCGGTCAATAGGAAGAACGCACTTTCCGATGGTTGCTCTAAATCATCGAGGATGAAAGTCATCAAAACCATCTTAATGCTTTTATTGTGGGGAATAAGCGAGCAGAACAGAACAACTCATTTAAGAACATCCGTGTTCATCAGCTGCACCCAAGAACAAATTTCTCTGTTCATATAACGATTTGAGCATTTTGTTGAACTATTTGCACGGGATATCAAAAATACCGAATGTTTATATTTAAAGAGGCCAGTTGAAAAATGAATTAAACGTCAGCTTCGTCAGTAGTTTACGAATGGCGTTGTATCTTCAATGCATTTTACCAAAGGGTGCATGCCTTAAAGGGCATTGACGCAAATTAGAAGTTGACGATTTTTAGCCGTTTATAAAACGTTGTTTTTTGTCCTTTTTGCCAGCCTAAAATCATCAATTCTATGTTTATTAATTCACGCAAGTGTGGTTGAACAACAGTTTTCGTCTTCATTGCAGGATCGCCTAACTCTGAACCTGAAACGTATCGATCGCGAGATCTCTGCTCTTCGACTGATTATGAAAAAATACCAATCAAATTTGGCTTCTCAAAGGATGGAGCTTTCAAAAACAAAACTGCTTTGATTTAAACAACCTGACTTATATCTCTCGGGCGTGCAAATGTCTTAAAATAATACTTCCGATCAGAAGAGGAGGCAACTTTCCTGAGTTAACCGGAGAAAGTCGACATAGTCGCAAGGCGTTAAGTCTGTACAATTGCTGATAACGGTGCCTTTGAAAACCAGGTTTTTAAGCATACAGTAACGTAAACAGTTTTCATGGACATTAATGAAAATGCATTCCCCTAAATGCTCTTCGCCTTTTGATAAGTAATTTATTTCACTGTTGCTATCACCGATGATGGTACATTCGTTAGTTCAGCTTCATCTAGTTTATAATAATAGTTTTCTTTTCCATAGTTACCTGTTGATAGCATGTGAGGAGCAAGTGGAACATGCGACGGGTTTATTCTAGCTTTAAAAGCTTTTTAAGGCGGATCCTAAATGTTTGAATCCAAGGTCAATGCTCAGTGGCATCTGATTGCTACCTTACGATGAGTTTGATGACTTAAGCAGTATTTTAAGACATAAATTCATTCAGAAGGACTACCAGTTAAGACAGAAGAGACTACAATAGTCCATTCTGACTTAACAACCGACTACATCTCCATCTTACTGAATTTTAAATATACATGTTCCTTATAAATTACAGATCTGGCAAGACTGTGCACTTTCTTAATTGGAACTACCGTTTTTCTGACTACTTTGAAGTATTTCGAAACAACTTACTTTATTTCATTTTTGCCAACACTGCCCCGTGGTCTTATCGTTATTGCCTGAACTGGTCCCACCTTGCCTAAGCTTCCTTTTTAAGATCATAGAGCACTTAAATATAGAACTTGCAAGAAAATATTTAAAAGGAACTCTGTAACATGAATGTGAAAAATAAACTAAAAAATGTTGAAGTTAAATTTTGCATTCACAGCTGCACAGACAGTCACCGTGCTTAGTGCTAACTTTCCACTAAAAAGCGGACTGCTGAGTTTTTGATCAACAAATGTTTTTATAATGTAGAATACAACAGTTGTCGATGGTGTTTTTAGCACATTGCGACCTCTAGGATGTTTTGTTATAAGCATTAGCAGAGAATCGGAAGCTGCACGTAATAATGGTGCCTTTAAGAGCGAAATTTTTTCCATAATTACAGTAAGGCGAGAAAGGGATGCAGCTGTGATCCTGCTTCAGGGGCCAGCTGTCACCTGTTAAGCTCTGCTTGGTACATCTTTAGTATGTAAACCAAGGGATGGAGCAGTTGTGTTGCCCTGGATGATCTTTTCACTCTTTCCGACCTGACAATTCAGTTGTGTTTCATCTTAAGTCTGGCGGGGCCCAAAAGTACCTACCAACCAGTCAGCAATGTTCACGTTGAGCTACCATCTGAGAGTCGAGTGGGAACATAGCCTTTCTGGCTTAAAGGATAGGGCCTCTACTGCAAACGAAGAGAATCGCTTCTTTACCAATGGCGTAGGTGTGACCTTTACGCGAATTTTCTCATGATGAGCTTCGTTTACTCTCTCACTGACACAGCAGAGTGAAAACGGCCGAGGATGAACATTTTCGCGGTGATTTACAACTTTAACTGGCCTAATGTATTACCGGCAAACGTTGGGACTGCAGTATACGTGTATTTCTAGCTTATTAGCTGTCGTCAGCTGCAGATACCCAACTCCAGTAAAGCCACAGAAACTGCCGCTAAACTCGAGTTTCGAAACCGCAACCAGTGAGCTAGAGACGAACGTCCTATCCACTGGGCCGTCGGGTCGACGGCTTGTCGGTTGTCGATCGGGATGTAGATTAGTACAAAGGTCTACACCGATCTGGTCCAGGATACACCAACTCTGGCTGTTTCATCTGGCGAGTAACATAATTGTTTCGTCCTTGAGAAATAAACTTGAAGTGTAAAGTCCCACGCCAGACGAAACAGCCAGGGTTGGTGTATCCTGGACCAGATTGGTGTACACCTATGTACTAATTTAACTAGCCTGTTTGCCAGAGCTACAGACAATTTCGTTTCTAATTGTCCGCAGGTCAGAGATAGAAGAGGGCTGTGATGTCACTTAAGCAAGAGTATAAAGTAAATTACAGCATGGGAGAGCCCTTGGGTCTTGGTTCTCCGTCTGGTGCCAATCTTCCAGGCCACGGCTTGCTGCGGCCATCATAGTTAAAAGCCCAATCGGTTATTGATGTTAACGAACTGAGTGATTGATCCCTCCATCTCTCTGTCTCTATTTCCTCTCAAAGGTGCCAGTCCGCCGACTGGATCAACCCGACTGGGCATGAGATTGGACACAATGCCTTATGTGACATAAAGCCGCTGTCTTTTGGATGTCGTACGAGTGTCTGGACTTTCCTCACGTGAGTAGTGCCTGAACGTTGACATTCTGACACACAGTCACAGCAAGTAGAACGACGATGCGTGTTCCCCTAACTCCTAGATTCAACAACATCTCTTCTTGTTATACAGAATACAGACTCCCTTCTTCTAGCACTAATTTTCCCTCTATAGGGATTAAGCTGGGAGTTTTGCTTGATCTTTACAGTAAATCTATGTATTTAACCGCTGCGACTTTAACCTTAAGAAAGACGGCGGCGTTAAATGAGATTTGAATGTTTTAAAGGACTGCAAAAAATTCTTAATTTCTCCATCAACTTGAAATTATATGATAAGGATCCGAGTATAAATTTTAAAACATAAATTGACAGTTAATAAGGCAAATGAATTAACAAAAATTTTATTAAGTTTGAATGTTGGCGGGATGCTATAATATTGCAAGGATCATGGGACACAAGAAAAAATAGCCTCGTGCGGTACGGCTAGCCTGGCATCATCAGTCCTCGCATTGTTTCACCGCCTCTCTGCTGTTCTGCAATTGTTCTAGCCTCTGTATTAGTTAGCCGAAGGGTATTGGGTGGGATTTGGGGAGAGGGTTGCGGCTTGTTGACACTCTTGTCGTGGTAGCCCAACAGGGCACCAACAGAGCCGATTCGATTCCGCTCCGCTGTCAGCCGCGCGTCTGCGCTGGTATTTCTGTCGACAGGTCTCGCCTCACAGAGGTCAGTGTGAGTTAGGAGTTCCTGTGCAGCAGCCCCGGTAGATCGGGCTTGGATCCCACGAGCAGCGTCGGAGTTTACGACACGGGCCTGTGTTACCAGAGTAAAATAAATATTTGTATGCAGGGACCATAATACAGGTGAGCTTTCCTGTAAGGGAACCTTTAAAGAAAGTGACTTTGAATTATTTTAGCAGTCTGTTGCTTAATGAATCCACTGTGCTTTCAATTCTAATTTGGGTCTGTACAAACCGAAGCATGCACAACATTTCATTTCCTCAAAACGTCCGCATTAGAAACCTGTCTTATGATATTCACTCTCTGGAAACTCTAGCTCATTCATGTCCGTGAAGCTGATCAACCTATCAATTTATTGATAAGGAGGATTAAATTTCATGTTTATGTTTTTCGCGTTAGAAGGGTATCACTTTAATAAATCCGAATAACTGCATACTAATGTTGTCTACTCCTCTCTACGATTCCGTTTTTAATTTGTGCAACCTAGTCATTTGGGTGATCTGCCTGGTTTTGGAGATAGATATTCTATATAATCAGTGATATGTTGTACTACATATGAGTAGTAAAAATGTCGTTGAAAGGCCTGCAGAATAGGGCCTTAGGTGGAATCCAGACCGCTTAACTGACGTGTATTCAAACAGTGTTTGACAACCGTTTTGTTAAGTACGCACTGCTTATTTTCATTCGTTTTATAGGAATTAATGGGTTCGCGTTTTAGGATACGTTTAATTACAACTTCTACATATTTTAAGCAATTTTAATGCGATTTCTAAGGTGAATAAACCCGAGATACATCTGAATATTCCGTTGATGGTAAAATACAAAGCCTATCCCAAATATATTAGGGAAGACGTCCGACATTTATTTACTTGCGATGCGAGCACATTCGGAGATTTAGGAGTTGGTTCAAATTAGGCTACACTCGATTTTCCTTCTTTTATAAGTTACAAATTCTCTTTTTAAGTACGAATTGGTCTCTGTTGGCGTCTAAACACGCAAATACTAACGATATTTTTTAAAGTTGAAAATTCCATTTAGTGATTAAAGTTGGCCTTCTCAACTGAAAAGGTTAAAAAGACTGAAATGATCCCCAGACTCATAAAGTAAGAATATAAATAAGCAAGTTCGGATGAAACTGACTTTTAAAATGTGCCTTAACATGATTTTTCTTCGGCTGCTTTCCCACGGTTTGGCATAAATGGTAGACATACTTACTTGTACTTTTGAGGGATAAGGAAAAGTAGTTGATTTAGCATTTTTTCCTATTAATTCGTTCATTCTGCCAACGCGATCTCGCAGGAAGGCTGCCTCCGCTTCGTTCGAAATCATCTTCGATCGACGGAACGGGGAGAGAGGAATGTCCCCGTCTTGCTGTGTAATGCGTCTGGCTAGTTGATTACCACTAACCATTCTTTCACGGATTTCCATTGCTTCTGGTCGTACCCTCAGGGCAGTAGCCGGTCTAGGAACTGGTATGGGAATCATGCAAAAACGTTTATACAAGTGTCAGTTCATTGATAAAATGTATTCATGCATTTTTAAACTTCTAGGCCTGAACGTGATCTACGAGATTAATTTGCATTATTCTGGTCACAAATCCCCGAAGTGTAACTACAGTGACAAATGTACCAATTTATACGAAACCAACTATAACAGGCACGAGATGGTCACCTTATTGCGCGTTGAAGACAGGATGTTTGGTACCATTATAGGTCTTCCTTGGGCCTAAGAGGTGTGAAGAGCTGAGCATTTGAAGTCGTTAGAGACGTTAATGCTGTCTTTCACAACTTGCGTTAACCTGGTTATTGCGGTGAATATTGAACATTTTTTATAAGAAATTTGGAAAAAATGCCATGCCAATCTATCGTAGGGTGTTGAGCACATAGCTTGTTTCGTCGCTTGTTCTTTGAGCAGCAAGGCACTTTTTGTAAACTGAGGGACTTTTTCGATATCATAATGTCGTAGGAGGACAAAACAACAAAAAGTGCCTTGTGTTTCTTTATTATTTATATAAAAGATTGGTTGCAATTTAAGACGGTATTCGTTCTCTAGGCTCAGTAAAATAGTCAGAGGCGCAGTTCAGTGACAAGATCACAAAATTTGGCGATGATTTGTCTTCCATAATGACAATTTGGGCATCTTTCGCACATGTGCGTCTGAATAAATAACCCAAGCTTTTTTAATAATTTTGAAATTAAGCAATAATCCGTTGCAAAATTATGTCAGAATTCAAACAGCCGTCTAAACGGCGGAACCCAAACGCATGTGAATTGTTTAGAGACGTAAACGTAAACAGCTCGAACGTTGCGAATTAGGTTTCAGCAATCACGTAAATTGGATGGTTGGCTTCAAAACACATGCTTAACACCTCTTGGAGTACTGATGGAGACAATATCCTGAGTTTTGATTGGCTACTTTGCAGGCAAGTGTCCTCGTTTTAGGAATAGATTTGGAGTAAACTTCAAATGACATTTTATCGCAGACAGAGCTGGTTTTTTGTAGATGCGCCATTAATGCTCAAAATAGTGTCGTTTACAGTCATATGATATTAATTATTTCGGATTCATAAATCTTTTGTAGAAAATCTCACCTCAGTGTCTTATTTATGTTTGCTGTTAACATTCTAACTGGGTCCATCTATAAACCCCGTCGTGTTACATTAGCTCGAAACGTGCTTTAACATTTGCCTCCACCTATAAAGTATCTACCGTCACTAGTTTACAGTACTTCCGATCAAGTTACCCCTCGCAGATTGCAAAAATTTGGCTAAATGCAAAATAATTATAAAATGTGATTAGGGAATTGTATAAAAATGAACAACAAAGGCAACGTTAAGAGCTTCAAAGAGTGCCCAGTTGAAAGCGTTATAAAACGCAAGTATCATCAGGTAGCAATACAAGACTGTCTAGTCCCCTAACCATACAAGCACTTTCTGACATATTTACGCAGAGGCATATTCAGGACTCTGCTCTCCTGGTCCATATCATTGCCTTGCCAAGTTTGTCCTTTTTTGCAGTGAACAACAAGATCCAATCCTTGATCAGTTACTAAACGACTGATGTGACTTTCGTATTTTCGATAGGGGACTGTCTTCAGCATGCTGGGTCGTTAGGTGGCTGATTAGTTAGCGGAAATGCTCGTTCCGCTGTCTTGAAGCGCAGTCTAGAGCTCTCGCAGGCAGTCGCATAATTACCAGTAATAGTCTAGAGGAATTATCGACTGAAACAAGTGAGACTATGCTCATTTCTGATCAAAGAGCAATTATCAGTCAATATTATCAACCTCAAATTTCGATTACCTGTAATCCGAACCCGGAATGTGGCCAGTTACCGTTAAGTCTGATGGTTTATTCAAGTTTACGCGCTATGATTTGGCATACTGTCTATTTTTAAGGTAACTATTCTACTGGCCACAAACGCACTTGTCAGAACCCTCTTCCAACCGGCTCGAAAAATATAGATTTTTTGTACTTGAATGGACCTCAGGCATTGTTATTTTTAACCATGTTCTAGCATTGCCGTAATGACATTACAGGCCCAGTTTATAAATTAGATGCATTCAGTTCATTCCACTGCCACTCTTTTAGAAGTGGCACTCTCTGTCATATAAATAACTCTTCTACGTCTACTCAAGAAGCATAGGTAGCACTACCGAGCCAGGAAATACTTGATGATCATTATAGATTTACCTATTGATTTAGATTTCGTCAATGTTGTTCAAATAGAGAAGGCCAAATAACCTTATCCAGTATTTGTACTGCCCACTTAAATGTGATGAACTTGAAGTGATAACGTCAATATTTTACTACTACGCAGTGGTTGATGAGGTTGCCCCTTACACCCCAGGTGATTCGGAATTTCTTCAATCTGGCCGAGATTTGGGAACCACCCAGACAACTAAGACCTTAAGTTTTGTCAGAAATTCTACATGATGAGGCAAAATGCATACCCCTGAGCTTAGCAAACTGGTGGGTCCCTGATCATGACAGCAGGTCTCTGATGATTACTTCCCTGTGCATTTAAAAGTTCACGTAAATATGACTTAATCACTTCTTTGTTTGTTCACATTACTGGCCCTCATTGGCTTACTCTCCATCTTCGTGAGTATATCAATACATCCGTTCGTTGGCCTTTCAGCGAGCAAAAGTATCTTATTACCAAGAATTTTATATACCAGTCGGTTCATGCCTCATAACGCCCCACGGACACTGCCACGAAGCTTGAAAGTCTGTGTTTATCTATAACTGATTAGCTGAAGCTATGAGAACGTAGACAGCGGAAGTCTCCGCAAAATGATCGCCAACGATGTATGGGCTTCCTGAAAACTTCATATGTCGCCTTAGTTAGTTATGCGATGTTATATTCTGTGCTACAACTGCAATTGCCACAAACGGCCGTTTACCAATCTTAAGTCAATACGCTTGTTGAAACAATACTTCGCCATACAGTCTATTGGTGCCCTATAAAAGGGCACATTCAAGTGCATAGTCACTGCCTGCACCTGCAAATAAGACGTGGAAGTATATACAGGGTGTCCCAAAAAATGTATACACATTTTACATAATTATAAACTTGGTGTTTATCATAATTTTATTATTAAAAAGTGTAAAAATATTTACAAATATCATTTTATTGTTCTTTTTACTGAATGTTCTCAAACTGACGTCCATTTTCATCATGACACTGCTGACCGTTCGAAGCAATTGAATAGCAAATACCATGAAACAATTACCTTCGTACTCGGGTATAGTAATGTTTAGTGGCTTCTTTTAATTCAGCCACTGTTTCAATAGTCAAAATGCAGTGAAGAAAACAATAAAATGACACTTGTTAATATTTTTTTCACTTTTGGAATAATAAATTATAATAAACGAAAAGTTTACATTTATTGAAAATGTGTATACATTTTTTGATACCCCCTGTAGTTTAATATAATATATGCGTAATATACTTTAATAAGTAGCATATACAATTTCTTGTTTCATTTTATTTGCTATAAAAACGATCGAAACGTCTGTTACTTGCAGCCATTTCGTATAAACTTCCGTCCTTCCTTTCCCCAAATATGTTCATTGGGCACAGGGATATGAACTCCTCAATCTCCTCGCGTTAAATTCCAGAGAGATTACAACTAGGCTTAAGATTCGGGTTAAGGTTAGAGTTGTTGTTAGAGTTATGGTTGATGGAAGGTAAGGATCAGGGTTAAGGCTTAGTTAAGATTTCAGTTTAAGGTTGGAGTTAAAGACGGTAATAAGTGTCCTTCCTGGAATTTAAAGAAAACCCACTTATATTCTTTGGAGAGTTCCTATTCCCGTGTCTTCCTTATTTGTTTAGGATTACAATTACAAACATAATTATCTGAAATTTCATAGACTGATTACTTGTTATTTTGAACTGAAAGAAAGCAAGTGTACTTTATCTGTAGCCAGGGGGCAATGTGCATTCTAAGATCTTTTATTTTACCAAGAATCATCTTTGTAAATTAAGGCGAAATTCAAAGCCTGGATATCCCCAAGCACACGTAAAATGAAGAAAGAACACTTCCCAAGGACCTGTTAAGCTTGCCATGTGCTCTATAAAAAGGGTACATAAATTCTCGCATTAGCAAAAACAACTTCAAGTAACGCAAGGATACACAACAATCATTTGTTGTTGGAAGGCAAGTATCCCAGCAAATGTAATTTCAGGGAAAGATATTACAAACTTCCTTTTACCGCAAAGACACGTATGCGGAAGTTGTTCTTAACTATGAGAGCAACAACTTCATATCTCACAAAAGGAGTGCCGTCAACAGTATGCTACGCCGAAGGAAGACACACTGCTCTGACGAAGAAACCTACCGAATTGAGCTCAATTATCTGTTTGATTTATTTTCCCGTAATGGTTACCTCAGAGACTTTGTACACCGAAGCATGAAACTACAACAATCCAGCAAAAAGGAACCAGATAGTTCAACTGAGGCATCTAAAAAAATACAGAGCGAATCCTTCCTTATATAAGGAATATGTCTGAATTCACTGAAAGTCACTTATGGAAATAACAAATAAAAGTGGCGCACAAACCGAAGTCTACTTTACGCGTCCAGCATGTACAACCTAAGGATGGGGTTGGCTATCTCGATAAGAAAGAAATCGTTTATAAGATCCCATGCGAAGTTTGTGATACCGTATATTGTGGCCAAACAGGAACATCCGTCTCCACACACATTCACGAGCACAAACTGGCAGTGAAGAGACGTAATCGTTTGTTCGAAGTGGCTAGACATTGCCTTCATACAGGAAACACCTTTTCATGGGACAAAACACGCATTGGCGGAGTTTGCCCCTCCAAAAAGTCCGAGAATTTCTTGAGGTCATGCACTCCGATGATTCATATCGAGTAGGATGGTGTGTACAAACACGACACGACAACTGATCAATACGGACTAACGTGAACCGCAACTTCTAATTAACATCCACACCGGATAACTAGTAATTTTCCACCCCGGACGGAAGCAAATTACAGTTGCCAATTAGCAATTAGGCTATTACGACTGCTAGTCTTGTCTACCATAGACTGACGCAAATTGCAGCTGCCAATTAGCGCTCACACCAGATGACTATATATTTGAACTCTGATTCTCCGTTGCAAATTTTTTCAAATTTTACTATGACCTGGAGATCCAGCGTCGAAAATTTACTGAATAAACTAACCTTATTTCCCAAAGAACGTCTTTCCTTGAAATAATATATTGTCTTTAGTTAAACGCCTTGATCAATTTCACTAAAACGTGGGAATATCCCCAGAAACAGCGGAAGATTAGGCCATTTTAATGTATCAGTTGCTCTTTTTGGGCAGGATCATTTGGGGAAGGATTTATAAAATATCCACACTGGTTATCAAGCTCATTATTTTTGAGGCTTGTAGTAGGACAAATGCGTCGCACTTCGTCAACTCAGCTGTATTATTGATAGGAGAACCTTCAACAAGTTTAGCTACAGTTTCTTAAATTCTGGACGATCACATCACTATATCGCCTTTCATAGCCCACACTGGCATGACTTGATCACAGTACTGAAGGACAAATAGTACCCAGAGCTCCATAAATGAGAATCATTGCTATCGGAAATACTAGAGGACCTGTTTCAGGAAGTTTGTTATTACGACCCGAAAATATGAGGATTAAATTCAAGATAGCCCACGAAATTTGACTGATACCCGATTTTAACGGAAGGAGGCTTGAACGAACGTTTCAAGATAAAAAAGATAGTTTATAAACCGACTTTCAGTTTAGCAGGGCGCCTGAAAACAGGTAAAAATTGTGGTGCGGTGAACACTTTGTTGCAGCTTTTCGGAAAAGAAGTCATGAACTTTGAAATCAGATTGGGATCATGTACTGAATGTATGGAGAGTTGTCTTCGGCAAACATCCCTAAGAGTTGACCCAAGAATCAGAATATAGGTAGTGAAATCGTAGGTTGAAAAGGTAACAGATATGGCCGATGTTTATCCTCCTTCCAGATCCGTAAAATCGGTACGCAGGGACACAACCGAGAATGAGAGGAGGCACAAAAATTTATTTGAACTAAGCTGTGTGGAAGTCTAGGATGAACTTACTTTTAGCCGTTCCAGCGAAAATCCCCTGTCCCATACTTCCACCGATACCGCGATTGCGCCATTCCCTCGCTTCCTCTCCGTGTACCTTTGGAACGCTTTTCACTGCACCACCGTAAGCAGCAGTGGGGGCATAGTCCGGACTACCATCATCACTGGCATCGTCCTGGGGAGAGGTTCTAGCACTTACAAGGTTATTGTTCTGAAGACAGGCCGCCATTGACCAGCTGCCTCTCAGACGACAGCAGTTACGGCGTGACTCCCGAGAAGGACATCGATA